GAGGGGGGGTGTTAAACTTTATATGGTCATTTTTTTTAAACGCTAAAATATTTTACTATGAAATTTAAAATTTAGTAATGAATATAAGCCTAGTTGAAAATAGTACAAAAAATATTTCATCAACATTTTGCTCTCACGTTTGCGGTAGGGGAGGGGGCTAGAATTTTAGAGGCTTTTTATTCCCAGGCTCCAATCATCGCAGTTTTTTGCAAATCATCCTTATTTGACATAAGTATAAACATATAAATGTTTGTAGTTTGCTCCATGTCTGGATGTTTTTATGAATGTATGTATGTATGTAGGTATGTAGAACCGTAAGCAATGTATGTAAGTATGTAGAACCGTAAGCAACGGGGGCCAGGGTACCTGGCCCTTCTCCCTCCCTCCCTAACAATTTTTTAAATTATAATTATTAGGGGAAAAACATTTATGTAAAATATTTTTAACAAATTTTTTATCCCCTCCCTCCTTTGAAAGAACCGTTAGCCCCCCTATAACAAAATTGTGGTTACGGCTCTGGTATGTATGTATGTATATATGTATGTATCTATGTATATATGTATGTATATATGTATTTATGTATGTATGTATGTATGTATGTATGTATGTATGTATGTATGTATGTATGTATGTATGTATGTATGTATGTATGTATGTATGTATGTATGGATGCATGTATGTATGTATGTATGTATGTATGTATGTATGTATGTATGTATGTATGTATGTATGTATGTATGTATGTATGTATGTATGTATGTATGTATGTATGTATGTATGTATGTATGTATGTATGTATGTATGTAAGTATAGGTATGTAAAAATTCTGTAAAACATGTATGTAAAAAATTCTAAATTTTTAGACCATTGAGTTTAGATAAAGATCTATAAACTAAAATTCTACCACGCCAATAAGAAAAAAGTTCTACGCAAACACATTTTTAAAATCTAATAAAATAATAAATGAAATTAAAAATCTGTGGTTAGTATAAATTTAGTTTAGAATAGAAAAAAAAATTATAAAAGGGAGGTCTAAATTTTATAGTTTTTTTTGTTTCTAAATAATCTAATAGGTTTTATTTTTCTCATTTTAAGAAAGACTTTACAAACTTTACTATAACTTTACAAATTGTAAAAAATGGTACACAACAATAGTTTTGTTTTGTACCGTTTCAAATTAAACTTACGAGAGGATAAGAAATAACACAGATGCAGAAAAAAGAAAAAAAACGGTTTCGTATATCATACATTTATTATAAGTAATAAAACATTAGTTTGTCATAAATTTATTATGAAAAATTTATCAAAAACTGAAAAAAAAAAATTTTTCTTACATCTCAATAAAACATATGAAAAAAAATATTTTCTGACTGGTTCAAGATATAGGTTATATATCATGTAATAGAAGACTATCTAAACTATACATTTTAATCAATACCTTAACCCCTTTTCCCAACTACCTCCACCCACCCACCCCCTCCTCTAAGTATAGTAGGCCAACCTTTCAACGTATTTTTAAGCTGTTCTTTAGAAAAACAAAAACGGTATTAAAGCTTTTTTTTTTTCATTTTGACTTATTTTACATTATTTAGATCAGTGCTTTTGTTAAAAACTAGTTAGTGGTTGCAATAAAAAAAAAAAAAAAAAAAAAAAAAATGCTATTTATAACTTAAAAAGAGAATTTCACGGAACCAATTGTAATTCCAACACTAAAAATAATAAATAGTTTTTACTTTAGAAATCATTACCATGTATACTGGACATGGCTGTTTCAAGTCAGACTGCTTTTTGTTTTTATAAAAACGTTTGTTACTAAAAGTTATCAATAAACTTATATAACTTTTAATATGTTTAAGATAATTTTGTTCTGTTAAAATATTTAAAACACCAGTAATTTGTTAGCTGATGACATTCAGATAATGAAAGCCACCTTAAGTTTTCAAATAAAAGCTCAGAATTACTAAGCTGATTTTTTAATACTTTAATGGTAACTTTTTATCAGTAAACATTTTTTTTTTGATATTTGTTACCAAATCAAAATATTTTTAGACCTATTTTAAGCAAATAAAAACTTGCTTACGATATATATTATTTGAAACAAGAATTATAAATCAGGAAACAAAATGGCCAAATGTTTCTAACTAAAAATGTTTCAACGTTTAATGTTAGTGTAACATACCAAGTATGAAAACATATTTGGTAACATAGCTAGAGGTATTAATACAAAAATTTTAAATTTCCATGTGGATATAAAGGGTAAAGTTTAAATAATTGGTGATGAATAAAAAAACAACTACATTTTACATTCAAAAGTGATAAAAGCAATATAGTTGCATTTTAAACTAACTTTTTTTTTTTTTTAAATCATCAACGATTACCAAAAATTAGAAAAGATAAGACACTCGTCGAAAAATATTTTGAATTTCAAACAAACAACATGAAGATAACCTATTAAATCTTCGGCGGTCCAATACAGATTTTCGGTAAAAATAGTCAGAAACAGAAATCCCACATCAGTTTTTACGTTCACCTCACTTAAAAAAAATATTTATTGAATAAAGAATTATATATCTTTTTTTTCTTTTTATTTCAAGGTTAAAATTTTTACAGAACAGTTTAATTTTAAAGTTAGTGATTATTTTTATTTACTTGAAAATTTATATTCAATGACTTGAACTTGTGTCAGCGAAGTATTTTTGCCAAATAAAGCTGGTCAGGAAAGTTTTGGTATAAATACAGATATAATTTTCTTATTAATTACCAGGGATCAACAAGCTCAACGGAGACACTAAATAATTTAAAGCTATTTTTTGTCCATTTTCTTTTTTTAATTATTGATTTCTGATTATTTTTAACAACTTTTTTATTTTTATTTTTATTTTAATTCACCTCCTCAAGGCCGAGAAAGCCATTACAGACGAGGAGGCTACTTGTTTTGTGGCTATAACCCTCTCTCAACTCTATAACTCCGAAACACGAACCTTGCGAACAAGGCCGCTGCGCGGAGAAACGAGTTGAGCGCGGTACTACCAAGGACGGTGGTAGGGATCGAACTCGGAACCACTCGTTTATGAAGCGAGTGCTCTACCACTACACCACTACCGCATTAAATCTTCTCTACAACTCGCATCTACAACTTGTACTAAAATTGAAATTTTTTACCACATTTTCTGTGATGGTATTTAAAAGAACTTAACTATTTCCATTTTGAATATAAATTTTTTGACAAGAAAAAACAAGTTTCTAAATGACGGTTATTTATATTTGTAACAACTGTTTGTATTCCCAGTGGGCACGGACGTAAAAAAGCCGTCTTTTAAACGTCTTATACACGTTTTGGACGTCTTTTGAACGTCTTTTGAATGTTCAAAAGACGTCTTTTTTTGGTCCGGTGCCCACTGGGTTACTAATATACAGTTTTTTTTTTTTTTTTTCAATGAGTAAATTTAGTTACAAAACTATTAAGGATTTCCAAGCATATTTAATTCCCATAAAATATTATTATTTTGAATTTTGTGTTTTTTTTTTATATATCAACATTTTATTGTATCGAATAAATAGTTTTTTAGGTATGAAGATAAGTGAGAAGTCTGATCACCTTCAATTTACGAATACGATTTTACTTTAATATTTAATTCATTTGGAATGATTCATACAATGCCTTGCAAAGTTGTGAAAGTTTTTTCTTTAAATCATCTATTTATAATAGGAATCTAAATTTTCTATGTTCATTCTATCCTATATTTAAGTCCCATATCTGCACCTTTGGCTTATATTCAAGGCCCATTTTTGTACCCTTGCTAGAGATTAAAACTAATATATGTAAATGTGAGCGTGTTTGCGTGTGTGTTTGTGTGTGTATGCGTGTGTGTATTCTAATCAATATTTTGCTGAAAGAACGTTTATTGAAAAATTTGTTTAAAAAATATTCATCGAACATTTCTTCATTTATATACTTCCTTTTCTTCAAACAAAAAAATATATTTCCTTTTAAACTAATATCTAAAAAATATACAATTTATATATTAAGATACAATACTTTACTACCAAAATAATATAGAATATATAACTAATTTAGTAATGCATCACTTTTTTTACAATTTTATAAATCTTTTTTTAATGAAAATACTAATACATTAGTTTAAGAAAATTATTTTTTTTAATCTAAATTAATTTTAATAAGGTTATGTATATTACTATATTTGTTTATTTAAGTTAATTTTTATCAGTTTAAGTTAAAACATTATTTTTGTTTTTCCACAAATTTTGTAAAAAAAAAGATTTTAAAACAGTTTTTTTTTAATTTTTTTTACTGCGTTTTATTCGTATTATTTCAATTGTTCTGCAGCGCAATCATTTCAACAATATCACAGACGTCTGATATTGAGGACATTATCTCACAAATGTCCGATATTGAAGACATGATTACCGGTTTTATCAGTTGTTATATTGCAATAATTTGGTAACGAAGGTAACAAAGAGATAAGTATATAATTACTAATAAACTAAAAAATTAAACAAAACAATATATAATATCTTTTCATTATAACCTGAATATCAACTATATTTTATTAAGTGTCACTCGCTAAAGGATAATGATTGTTTTCATTAATCGCGATTATTAATTATTGTCTGACCGAGTGTTATTTTTTTAATTATTTGCGTACAAGCAATAACTTTTAAATAACCTCCCTAATATAAGTTTTCAAAAAATAATTTTGTTACTTAAAAGTATAATCTAATGTTAGGTTCTTACATTGCTCAGTACTGGGAACCTATTTAATGAAAAAAATTTTCAGCATATCGTTATTATTAAAAAAAAAAATATTTCCGCAATTTAAATCTAAATTAAGACGTTATTTAATACTTACTGATTTTAATATAGTAGATTTTCTCTGTCTCTTTTAGAAGTTTTTAAACTAAATTAGCATCATAAATTTAAAAATCTAGATCGTTTAAAAAAATCAATTAATTTTAGGAATTTCAATGTCTTTATCAGACTTTCATTAAAAATATTTACTTTTGAAGTTACCTATAATTTACTTTAATATTTTTTACGATTATTGCAACAGAAATTTTATTATTTTAATTTTGAGTTACGTTCAGTTTATAATTATACTCAAATCATTTCTTTTCTTTTTTAAATTAATTTATTACTTTTTTCTTTGTTTATTAACTTCTGAAAATTGTCTTTCTTTTAAATGCTGTTGCATTAAACGAAACGAATTTTTAGTAGCGTTACTATTGGGGCTCGGCGATAAAGGTAATTTATGCCTCCTACTTGCTCCATCCAAATGTATACTTTTTTATATTGCTGTACATAGTAAACATTTTTGAACGGCGAAATAAACTAAACTAACTAAGCAAAAAAAAAAACTCCATGAAACACCCTAAATAGTGAAACAAAACACACTAAAAAAATGATTAACTAAATATATATCATACTGCTTAAATACAACATAAAAGAGTTTATATTTTTCATTTAGAGCTTTATTTTTTTTCAAGCCCCTTCAATAAATGGTGTTCTGTTAACGATTTGCACTGTCACAAAGCACAGAGGAATACCTTTTAATGAAGAAGTTTTTTGTCGCCTTCAAACTCAATGTTGCTGTTATAGCCAGGCATTGAACCTTGAACCTATCAATCAAAAGTCAGCTTTGTTGCACGGCTTGCGTCTTTATTTTATTTTTTTAATTTCATTTTGTTTGCAACATAATTCAGAATAAGTAAGTTTAGCCTAATGGTATGATAATAATGATGGATTTAATAATCTCCATGGTAACAACTACCAAAAATAATGTACAAAAAATGTAAAAATATTAATGTTAATAAACTAATTTATATTTAAAAAACATTTAAAAAACAAACTTTATTGACAAATAAAAGTCTCTAGATCACCTTATTATATTATATGCGATAAAACATTCATTGAATTAATTATATATCAAACTTTTGTTGTACCTATGGCAACAAGCGTTTTGTGTGTCAGCAACACATAAAAATGTTAGCGCAATTTTAAACTTTGCTGAGACTACGCTTTTTTTAATTTTCCATTTATGAAATTAAAATTAAATAAAAAACAGTTGAGCCGGAATATACTAATTAGTTTTTTTTTTATTTTGATTCTTGCAATCCATCGTGATGACATTAATGATGTTTTTTAAAAAAATCGTTTTTCATACTAGGTATGACCCTTGTAAAATCTTTTACACAAGTAAATATATTTTAAGAATTGTTTTTTCTCTTTTCAGTGCAAAAACATTTTCTATTAAGTTTTTTTTCAAGTCCATTACTATCATTCTATTATCTTCGCTATCAAGTCCATCACTATCATCTTACTATCTCTTTTATATATATATATATATATATATATATATATATATATAGTTGCTTAATATCTTTAAAAAAATAATACTCAACTGAGTTTACAGTTACCTTTTTGCTTAAAAATAGATAGTTCCACAAAACACGTTATTCTTCAACTTAAGCACAAAGCTCTTTTAAAAAATCCACTTTGTACATTAAAAATTCTTTATTGATCCCAGACTTTTAATCCCGTCTATGGCCAAATATTACTTAGATTGTTCAAACGTCACGGTATTAGAATAAAACCTCTACATCAACATTTATCTAAAACAATTTTCGCTTTGTTTAATTACCTTTTAAAAGTAGTGTCCCGAGATAATTTTTTTTATCTTAATATTCATAAATGATCATGTAATAAATTATTTTTTGAACCTGTAGTAACACAAAATAGTGCACTAATGTTTTTTCAATCCTGGGTCACCTTAACGCTACTTTATTTGTTATAAACTAAAACGTAATAAAATTTTGTAAAGAAACGTAATAAAATTTTGTAAGCCTAAATATTGAAAAAACATTCGAGACCTTGTCTTAAATTTGTAAATAAATATAGCATATTAAGGCGGTTTTCCACACGATAAACTGTACGTAAAAAACTTTTTTGTAGATGAGCGTGTTTATCTACAAAAATATTTTTACTTAGGAAAAATCGGCAAAATTATCTGTGCATGCACGCAGTGGAGTTGCTAGGGTTGGTGTTACCCAATGCAGTAAACTTTTAGTATCATCCTTCTAGACTTTCACTAACAGGGCTGGCGATACAGGTTTCAAATTTCTAAAAAAAATGGTTCTTTAGAAAATCTTTGTGTGCAATGAAGAAATAGCCGAGTTATTATTAAAGAATATCGATAAATCAAAACTTGAAAATTATTAGTTAGACCAAACGCAAAAATAAGTATGCACAAGCATAAGTAGTTCTGTCATACTTGCATTTTTTTTTTCATTTTGGTGTCACTTTTGTGTGTTAGGTCGTGATGGTATCACCCGATACGGCTTTCATCTGGTACTTTATAATAAATCTGGTACTTTATTGCAAGTGGTGGTGGACTTTCAACCATGAAAATGCAACAACTTTAGACCATATCAGTTTTGTTAGCAAACAAATCAGCTCTTAACGTTAAAGTATTAAAGTACAACTCGGACAGAATAAGTCATAGTAATGAGCTGATTGACTTTAACAAATCAGCAAAAAAAGAGAAGGTATGTTATTCTTATGGAAAACCAGTGGAACGTTTTTTTACTATTTATTCTAATAATAAATCATTGAGCAGCTGTTATGCCTAAGTGAAGAATTGCTACAGTTTTAATATTGGTCAGAGACTTTTTAGTTAGAGACTTTAAGTCTCTAACCGTTCTTTAAATTTAAATTGTTCCTCTAAAAAAAATCAATGTAGAACCGATTGATCATTTTGCAATTTCGCAATCAATCAGTTCGTTGGTTTAAAAAGCAGCAACAAAATATCAAAATTATTTATCTATTTAATAATATAACTATGTAACCAAGATGAAATCATGTAATCATTTGTAATGACTATATTTTGTTTTACCCAACTAAATTATTTTAAATATATGTAAAATAGAATGATTTAATTGACGGGCCTAATGATGATATAACCAAAGTCAAGCAGCCACCAGTGAAAATCCAAAAAAAGACTTCAGAAAATCCAGAGTGCATCATTCTAGTCAGGTAACAATATAACTCAGATTTACATCTACGCCAGCCTAATAGATAAAAAATAGGTGCAAGGCTGGATAACGGAAATTTTCTGTTTGTCCTAAATTTTTTTCTAAAAAAACTTTGCACAAGACAGTAACCGGAAGCAGTTAACATCTATCCAAGTTGATTATTTTATCGAAACACTATTTTTAGTCCTTACTCGACCAAGAGACTCCAATACCAGGGATATTTTAAGAAATATTACCTATTCCTAGCCTTTACTCAGAAAAACGCATCCTACAAGGCTGAAAAGAGGAAATAAAAATGAATTAAAAATTTTTTTAAATTTTATTTTGTGAACAAAACAGTACAAAGCTTTGTCTTTAAGTTAACATTGAACGTTTTGTTGAAAGCTATTTTATTATAAGTAATTTTTAATATGTGTCTTTTCTTAAATTTTAGAAACAATATTCTCTTTAAAAAGCTAACTAGTATATCGGTGGTATTTATTATTGAATGCGATGGCGAGTACTGCTAACTTTGTCAATCAAAACGGCATTCCTTCATTTTTGCGCGAATTTTTTTCTCGTGAAAAACCGCCTTTAGCAGAATCTGAGCGTAGTAAAATCAAAAACTGAGCGTAATAAAATTATTCGGCATCGTTAATTTTTTTTCCGAAGTACAGAAATTTTTTTTCCCTTTAGGAAAATTTTTTTTTTTCCCGTTAGTGTAAGACTATTTTATTTATAAGTTTATAAGAAAAATCATATCTGTCAGTCTCTTTTATTAGTTGTACAAATCTTTCCGAAAAAAATATCTAAAATATGTTTAAGCTATAATGGCCGATATAGCATCTGATGGAAATGTCTCTCAGAATCATTTAACTAAGAAACTCAAAAGAATATTGGATACTCGACTTGAAAGTGACAAGGTGAAAAAAAATTCAAATCAAAGTTAAGATAACAATTTTTTATAATTAATTTAATAATATTTTTGTGCATCCCGTTTGTCCTAAATGTGTATAAAAAAAAATTAAATAAAGTACTTTTTCCGATAATGTCTTGAACTTGATAAGTTCCAGGTGTTTATATGTATAATAAATAACTTTTTATCGAAAAGACTTCTCATAGAATTAATTTAATAGTCAGCAACTTAAGAAGGATAAAACAGAACATTAAACTGTTTTTAAAATTTTATGTAGGTCAATTTTCAATCAGAGTAAAAAATTCTATGTATATAAATTTGCATTAATTTGAAAAATCATTTTATTAATAAAAGTTAAAAATAAGAAGAAATTTAAAAAATATATTAATATACAATGCTTTAATTTTTACTAATTTATTTAGGAGCTGTTAGATGCTTTAAAAGCTTTATCGTCTTGTTTTGGGGAAAACACTTTACGAGCCAGGAGAGATCTCCGTGGAGATGTTGAAAAAAGAAATCTTGATGCATGTGAAAAGTTTGAAGCACAATTAAGAGAAGTTAAAGAAGTATCTTTAAATAATAAAAATTACTTAACTTTAAATTAAAACTTTAAATAGATTGCTTTTTCCTAAGCAGAGGAACTCTATTCCACACCAACCTTTTTTATACTTTTTCCTCATATATATATATATATATATATATATATATATATATATATATATATATATATATATATATATATATATATATATATATATATATATATATATATATATATATATATATTTAAGCAATTTAAAATGTATTCTACAAAAAGAGTGCTCAATGTTCTTAGAAGAACAGAGCAATTACAAGTTAGTAGAAAATCACTTAGCAAAATTTTTTCTCATTTAACACTGTGTTTCATCAATAAAGACTCATCAGAAATGAATGATCAAGTTAATAAAACTTCAATTTATACCAGAAATTAAATTACAGGAAGTCACATGTCTTAACTACTGCAATTTTTCACACATTTGTGTAATTTGCTGATACTATTGTAAAAAGAATTCTTTAGAAATGATTACTTTTTTAAAAAATAATATTTTTTTTTCAAAGGGGAGTTAATGTAACTATATTCGAGCTCACTTATTTTTATAGTTTTTTAGGAGAAACTTATTTTCGTGCCTGCATTTAGAAATCAATTCCGATTTTTTGTTTAATAAACATTCTTGGTTTGTATGTGTAATTATTTCAAATTTTTCTTGTAGACATAGTATGCATTTTTTGGAAATATTGTTATATGCAGGCACTGTTTTAAGGATGGACCAATTCAGTGTAAAATCATCAATATTTTTATCTTTTAATTCCCATATATATTTTGACAGCATGGTGTCTTTTGAATACTTTTTATTTTTAAAAGATTGCTTATGATTTTTTTGTTTAACGAAGCATTGTTGTGACCTTTTATAATTCTTTCCATATTTTTTGTGCAAATGTAGCTAACTTTAATAGTATTTCGATTAAAAATTTTATGTAGTTTATTAGAGGGCGGGAAATGCTTATCGATCAATTTTAAAAACACTTTTCCTATGTTTGTGTAAACATTTTTGGTATATGGGGGGTTGAACCAAATTACATTTCTAGTTCTATTTCGCTTTTTTGTATTCTTTTTTTCAGGGTCAAATTTTAATTCAAAGTTTTTCAAAACCACTTTTTTTAAGGGCATCTTCAAATATCTGTTTGGAGGAATGGAATACATTTTCATTAGAGGAGTTTTAGTTAAGCCTGTTATTAATTGAAATCGGGATTTGTTTTAGAATTTGGGGTGGATGATTTGAGTTAATATTAATATACAATAATTCATCCTTTGGTTTTTTGAAAGGCTTATATGTATTTTCCGAGAGGTTAAATGTGACATCAAGAAAGTTTACAATTTTTAAATTTATGTTTATTTCAATTTGAAAGCCAATTTTTTTAAAAATTTTTATAATATCTTTTCTAATTTTATCAAGCTGTGGACCAGATTTTTTACGCATTACTATTAAACCATTGTCGCGATAAAGGCCTAAATCATTTATATTGATTATTTTACTTAATAAATCTAAAATATATAATCCAACAAATTCACAAATTTCTGCTCCATCATAACTGCTCATTGTTACATCAAAGCAGTTATGTATGTTTTTCTTTTTCCAAGTTTCCTTATTAAAATAAAGTAAGGTTTTTCTACAATGTTTTATTATGCGAATTGTTTCTTCAGGAATAACTGTGTGGCTTTTTGCAAATTCAATTGTTTTATCTAAAATATCTACAGTTATTGAGGGGTAAAAATCATTAATATCAAATTTAATAAATGTACAGTCATTTTTATTATCGATTATGGAGAACCAATTTATAACATCAGTGGTATTTTTCCACTGTTGCCAATTTAATTTATTTCTAAGAATATTATTAATTTTGTCCAATTTAATTTTGCTTACACGTCCAATCTCACTTTTTGAAGGAACCAATAACCTACAAGGAAGTTTGTTTTGAAAATTTGGTTTATGGTCTTTTAGTGTTACGAAGGCTTGGGCAGGAGCAGGATAATCGATTCTCCTGCTCCTGTGGAAAAATACCACAGGAGCAGGAGAATCAAGTTTTATTAATTTGATCATTCATTTCTGATGAGTCTTTATTGATGAAACACAGTGTTAAATGAGAAAAAATTTTGCTAAGTGATTTTCTACTAATTTTAATTGCTCTGTTCTTTTAAGAACATTGAGCACTCTTTTTTTATAATACATTTTAAATTGTTTAAATATATATATATATATATATATATATATATATATATATATATATATATATATATATATATATATATATATATATATATATATATATATGTATATATATATATATATATATATATTTATATATTTATATATTTATATATATATATATATATATATATATATATATATATATATATATATATATATATATATATAAACACACACACATATGTACAGGTCTTTTCTCTCTCTCTCTCTCTCTCTCTCTCTCTATATATATATATATATATATATATATATATATATATATATATATATATATATATATATATATATATATATATATATATATATATATATATATATATATATATATATACATATATACACACACATATGTACAGGTTTTTTCAAACCTGACTATTTCTATACTCATATATATTTCACAACAATCAATTCTATACTTATTTGTGATTTCAATAGTTTTTAGAAACAGTAGAAAGATAATTCATTCAAAATTGCTTTTTAAGCAAAAAGAAATTAATATAATCTCTTTTCTGCATATGTAAAGCTTATTAAAACCCTTATCCTGATTGTATATTTAAAAAAAAAAAAATTCTGAACTGAACTACTTCCTACTTTAGAAAATAAATTGTCTCTTCACAGAGTCAATTGGTTACATATAACACATAGCATAAATAACTCTAGATAGATAGGCATATCTAAAAAATCATGTGCAGACATTTGTTTATGTTTTGTCTATTATTTTCATAATAATAATATTTTTAATAACAATATGCTTTTTCTCATAAATCTATAGCCTTTAATTTACTTTATTTCACATAACTTGATCATTTTTGCAATAAAAAGTTCAATATTCTTTTTTAACATTCTTGTTTGTAATAATAGTTGCACCTTGTGATAGAACTTTACTTGCCCACCACTCTGTTTGTTAAGGAGTAAAATTTATATTTTAATGTTTACCTTGTACATATATGCTTTATTTTATCTTTTTACTTTTGTTATTTAAACATGATTTGAAAGATTTGTAGCATTTTTTTAAAAACTGGATATTTATTTGAAATATCTTTTCACAATATTGCATGATATCATTGATAATGACACTGGTTGGTTGTTTGTAGATTCCTTACTTATTTCCTTGAAGAACAGAATTTTGTTTGTATTTTATAATTTATATAGTATAGTAATACTATTAGTAGGACTTTTCGAAGATCAGTGATAAGGATAAGAAAGGATAACTAAGGATAAGAAAATGATTGAGAAAATTCTTTGAGAAAAAAAAATTAAGTTTATGTCAATTAGTTTATTAGCATTTAAATTCATTAACATGAAAATTTTTTAAAATTTTTTTTTTTTTTTTTATCAAACATCTTCCATTCCAACAAGGCTGCAAGCAACCACTAATTAGTGTTAGAAGTTACTGGAAGAGAAAATATGAAGATTGTAGAGCAAGATAACGATTGGCAGGCGACTTAAAAGATTGCAAATTATATGAATCAGGAAAGCAAGATGAAGGAAGCGAATTCCAAAGAACTGATGTTCGAAGAAAAAAATTGACGAATAAGAGTTTTTGGAGTACTTAGAAACAGCAACAGAAAAAGGATGAAACTTAATTGAATGACGAGTAACATGAGAATGAATTGTAGTAGATGGCACAAGAGATGCTAGCTCTTTAGAGCAGTCCCCAATATAGTATTTGTAGAAAAGAGAGAGAAGCAACATTACGACCATGTGATAACGGTTGAAGGTTGCCTGCAAGAGCAGGTCCAACTATGTTTACAATGTGTTTTTGCACCTTGTCTAAAAGAGAAAGGGCATCATTAGAAGATACACCCCAGATATGGCAACAGTATTCCATACAAGGCCGGATTTGAGATTTATAGAGATAGAGAATAGAATCCAGAGTAAGAAAGGAATGAGCTCGATAAAAAGAAGCGACTTTAGCAGATGCTAATTTTGCAACGGATTTGATATAAAGTTTCCAAGAAAGATCAGAAGTAAGAGTTAATCCTAGAAGATGAAGGGTAGGAGACTCATCGAGTACATTACCGTTCATAAATATCGGAAGGTCTAAATTATTTCGATAACGATTGGCTGAAAAAAGTTGAGTTTTATCTGAATTAAAGTTCACCAGCTATTGTGAGCCCCATGTAGCAGAAGTGAGATCCTTTTCAAGCTCAGATGCCCCCTGCAAGTAATCAGAGGGAGTTAGCTTCTTATCGTGACAAGAATAAATGGTAGTATCATCAGCGAACAATGCCACCTTAGATGTGAGAATATCTGGAAGATTGTTAATGTAAATTAAAAAGAGTATAAGGCCAAGGATTGAACCTTGAGGAACCCCTGAGGTTACAGAATAAGAAGAAGAGTGCTGTCCATCAAGGATAACTTTTTTACTATGATTGGAAAGGAAGGATTCAATAATCTTAAAGATGTTTCCAGATACACCGTAAGAAGAAAGCTTATGGAGAAGATTAGCATGCCAAACTTTATCAAACGCTTTAGAAATGTCAAGAGCGATGGCCTTAACCTCTCCACCTTTATCTAATGCGCGATAAAACCTATCGGTTATTACTGTTAGCAAATCAGCCGTAGAATGAGAAGATCAAAATCCATATTGATGATCAGAAAGGAGGTTATGAGATTCGAGATGAGAGATTAAGTGTTTGTTAATTAAAGATTCAAAAACCTTGCTTATGATAGGAAGAAGACTAATGGGACGGTAGTTAGATGAATCAGATTGCTCTCCAGAATTTTTAAAAATAGGGATAGCAGATGCTGCTTTCCAGCAGGCTGGAAAACAAGACTCTGATAAGCACTTGTTAAATAGTTTTGAAAGGATAGATGACAGCTCCGGAGAACACTTGTGCAACACTATAACAGGTATGTTGTCCGGGCCGCAAGCTGTAGAAGAGTCTAAGCAGGAAATCACTTTAGATACAGAAGCTGGAGTGATACGGATGTCAAGCAGTGGATCAACCTGTTTGACGGCTACATCAGGTAGAACGCAACTAGTGGAATCCGAAGATATTGATGAAAAGTTCTTGGCAAACAATTCAGCTTTGTCTTTAGGTGAGGTGACAAAGTCTGAACCGTTCAAAAGAAGTGGAATTACAGACTTGCCCTTATTATTGATACTATTAAAGATTCTCCAGAAGTCACGAGAGCCTAATTTTTGTGATTAAATACGAGATTTCATGATCTGAGAATAGCGGGCTTTGGCGTTAGATAAAACCTTTTTACAATGGTTCCTAGCAGTAGTAAACAGACGTCTGTTTTCTGGAGAGTTGTTTTGCTGATAGATATGGAAGTAATGGTTTCGATTGGCAATTGCAGCAGCACATTGTGAGGAAAACCATGGAGAAGAGTGAGGCTTGACCTGGAATCGTTGAGAGGGAGTAAAGGATTCCATGCCAGCCTGAATCCACGAAGTTATGTAAGAAGCACATTTGTCAACAGGAAGACGAAAGATATTTACCCAGGGGCCATCACGAAGAAAATCACGGAAAGAGTCCTAGTCAGTTTTAAGGTAGTTGTAAGATGTATAATGATAGGGGAATTCTGATGGTAAAGAAGAATGAGATAATAGTTTTAGAGAGACCAAACCATGATCAGAAGCACCTAAGGGTGAGTTTGGAGAAACTGAGCACTGACTAGGCCGACCTCAGAACCATAAAACTGAGTTTTAGAGCTGTACCCTCATAAGGAGATAATAGAATGAGTTGCCTAGTCATAAAAATAGAGACACAAGCAAAACCCATGCATCGAGTCAAAACCTAAACTGGAAACTGTAAAATCCTAAACTGAAAACAATGTATTAAAAATACATCTGCGCCAGCCTAATAGATGGAGAAGGGGTGCAAGGCAACAGATAGAATCTGTTTACCCCTTAAGTCTTTGCCAAGGAGGCCTTCTACAAGACAGTAGCCGGATGCATTTAACATCTGCCCAAGATGAGTATTTTTATCGAGACACAATCTCTAGCCTTTATTTAACCAAGAGTCTCAAGGCAGGGGGTCTTTTATGTCAGAGTTTGCATCTCCTAGCCTTTTCCTAAAAAGGCATATCCTACAAGGCAGCAGGACATGAAGCAGATTGTACTGGGTTACATGTTACCAGTAGCAGGATAAACCTGACCTGACTGAATTCTTAATTATCAGTATCATCTGAATTTAGTCTATGCAAAAATTATTTTATTTTGAATGCTGACATAATCCAATTGTCTCAGTATTGTTGATTGTGTTTTGGAAAACTGAAATTACAAAAAAGATTGCAGTTATTTCAACCACTTACAACAGTATATATTGATAAAACAGTTTGCTGATTAAAAGAAGATTTGACAAAATTTAAAATTTGCCTATATTAAGGGTTTAAAATAAAACTTATTTTTATTTAAATGTTTTTATTTTTAATAAATTGAAAAACAAAACGTTGGTTGTTAATGTTAGACTTAGTACTGTTCTTTAATTCTTAAATTGCTGCATTAAAAAAAAACAAAAAACTAATTTAAGATAGAGACCTATATTTTGAGACATTTAAAAAGAAACATATTGATAAATTAACTTGAATAATGAGTTAAGGATAAGAAATAGCAAACAAAAAAATTAAAAGTTACAGAATTACTAATATTTATATTCTCTTTGTAAGACTAAATAAGACTCTAATGAATAAAGAATAAAGACTCTAATGGTCACATATTTGGGTTGGTGGTATACATATGCATTAATTCACCTATTTGTCATAAGTTCTTCGATCACTCTTTTGTTCCTCACCGTAGCACCTCTTTATTTTATCACCTTTCTCTTTGTTCTTTATCATTCTCATTTTTTTTAAGACTGTACTCTTTGAGAAGTAATTTCTGATCAAATTGACCATGCTCTTTCTCTTTACCCTTCTGCCAATATTGTTAGTATTAGAGACTTTAATGCTTATCACATTAAATGGCTTGGCTCTAACACCACTAACCCTGCTGACACTAAAGAACATAACTTTTGCATTTCTCAATCGCTTAAAGAGATGGTTAACTTTGTGACTTTTTTTCCAGACAATCATAATCATTTACCTTTAATCTATGGTTTGTGACTTGCCTTTGACCCTAATTTGTGTTTAGTTTCTTTTTTTCCTTTAGGTGGTTCTGACCATGCAATTGGACTCACCCTTTCATCGTACCACTTACTACTACCCTAAAACTAACTGGGATTCTTTTCGTGATCTTCTTCCTGATGGTCCTTGAGTTGATGTCTTTTCTCTTTCAGTTGATAAATGCACCGCCTTACGTAACCACCTAAATTCAGTCAGGAATGAAAGCTTTTATTCCTTCTTGTCAGTTCCAAGTCAAGCCTCATTCTACTCCATGGTTTTCATCTATTTGTGCAGCTGCTATATCTAATCGTAATTATTTTTTTTATCTTTTTCAAAAGAACAACTCTCTTGTAAACAAACACCTATTTATTGCAAGAAATCACTGCAAAAAGATGCTGTCTGATACTAGGCTCCATTATTCTTAGTTCAGTAAATCTCAAAAGTCAGGATCTAGAGACTTTTGGAAAATCTTCAACAGCGTCTTTAATAAATGTAGATCTAACATTACATCTCTCATTCATGGGACTGATCTTATCACCTCTCCCAAGGATAAGGTAGAACTGTTTGCATATTTAAAATTAAGCTTTTCTTTTAATTCAACTCTTGAATCATATGGCTATACTCTTCTTTCTATTCTAGTTAAACAGGTTAACATAGTCTTACAAAAGTGTTCTCCAGAACTCTCTTCAATTAGACAATCAATATGGTTTACAATCTTCTTGCTCTAAGGCTGATTTGCTAACTGCTGTGACCGAACTATTTTATTGTAATTTAGATGGAGGCTTTTATAAATTTATCCTCAAAGGCTAACACTCTTCTTTATTTTCAGTAACTTCTGGGGTACTTCAAGTTCTATCCTTGATCCTGTTTTCTTTCTTATCTATATTAATGATCTTCCCAACAAACTTACATCTAAAGTAGCTCTTTTTGTTGATGACTCAACTTTATACTCTTGTCTTGATAAAAAGTTTTTGTTTCGATTGCTTAAACAGGCAGCTGATCTTGAATCTGATCTCACTCTGTATCAGATTGAGGCTTGTATTGGATTGTAAATTTTAACTCCAACAAAACTCAGTTATTTATTGCTAGCAACTATAACAATACTGTCGACATTCCTATATTGTATTGTAAGTGGCTACCCTCTCACTGAGTCTTTTTTATTGTGTCATCTTGGATTATTGTTCACTATTAACCTCTCATGAAAACTAAACATACAATTGATTGCTAAGTCAGCATATTTTAAGGTTGCTTCTCCTCATCGTGCTTGCCATTTTACTTACTCCTGATTCTATTCTCTACTTCTACATATCTTTTATTCACTCCTGTATCGAATACTGTTGTCATTTTTAGGCTGGTTTTTCTAATGATGCTCTTTCTCTTCCAGACAAGATCCAGAAATGCATTGTAAATGTAATTGGACCTGCTCCATCTGCCAAGCTTGAGCCTTTCTCCCATTGTCATAAAGTTACATTTCTTTCTCTTTTCTATAAATACAACCATATTTGCTGCTCAAAGGAGCTATCATCTTTAGTTCCATTAACCAAAACTCATTCTTGTTTAACTTGTTATTCAGCAAATCCCATCCTTTCACTTTATCTATCCTTGCATGAATTAAAAAAAATGATTCGTCAAATTTTTTTTCCCGCACTTCAACCCTTAGGAATTCTTTCTTATCTTCATTTTTTCCTGAATCATACAACCTACAACTTTTCAAGTGTCCTCTCAAATATTTTCTTTCTTTTTAACTCTGTTCTTTGTTTTCTTGTAACTCCTGTTTGTAGTGAATCTGAATAACAATAAATAAATAAAGACATTAGCAATTATTTTGTTGGTCAAATGTTGACTAGAAATAGACCTAATGTTACACTACTGTGGGTGTTGCAATTTCAATGACTATTGCAATTTCAAACTTAACATTCCATTTAATATTCACTCATTTTTATAATCTTATATTAAATAATATACGCTAATGAGATAGTACAATATATTTGTTCCTATTTTTGTATTATTAGTTTTATATTTTAGAAACTAGATGAAATAAGTGCAGATATCAATGCAATGAGTTCATGTTGCAGGGATATGACAGACAGAGTTAAGGTAAAGTTGTTTCATGCTTTTATAAATTTATTCTTCATGTATGTAAATTCAATGTAAATTTAGCTTTATGAAGAATAAATTTATTTATATATTGCTATAATTATTAATTTGTATATTTACCTAAAAAATTAAACTTTTTTAGGTAAATATACAAATTAATAATTATAGCAATATATGTATATATATATATATATATATATATATATATATATATATATATATATATATATATATATATATATATATATATATATATATATATATATATATGTATATATATATATATATATATATATGTGTATATATATATATATATATATATATATATATATATATATATATATATATATATATATATAATGTGTTCATTGTTATAGCGATCTAAAGAATCAACTGCTGAGCTTATTGAAAAAACTACAAAGTTAAAAGTTGAAAGGTGATTTTTTTTTGTGTACAATTGTGATATAAATATTAATAATATTTTTAACTGTGTGGAAATTTACCACTTCTAACATCTTTTGTTGATGAAACTAACTAACATATGCAGATCTAAATATTGATAATTTTTTATTTTAATCTGTAATCAGAAAACAAATTGACTTGCAATCGTTGCTCGCTACATCTTTTATTGAGCACTATCAGCTTAAACCAAATCATATTAAAGTTTTGCGTTCTTCTAATGATGTTACTGAGGTATGACATTTAATTAAGTTGTTAGTATCGAATTATTCACATGCATTTTGATTAATTTATTTTTTTATTTTAAAATTTTGCCTCTAAGATCCATAATTCTTCACTGAATCTCATATATTAAATTTTTTTTTTTTTCAAAAGTATATTGACCTAGGTATTAAAAAGAATAACATATATAAAATTTTTAGCTTGAAATAACAATGAAAATTTAATATTTTATCAAAACAAAATGTTTTTTATACTTTATGTATTTTGTATTATTTAATTTTCGAAATGTATGATATGGATAAAGTCTAGTTTACTATTTGAAATAATCTAGTTTACTTTACTTTTTTTGGTATGGTATAATAGAAGTATATAATTTGCTTATTTGAAGGAGTTTTTTGAAGCTTTAAAAAGAGCAAAAGAAATACATAGCGACTGCAAGCTGCTTCTACTTTCAAAACAACAAACTACAGGGTATGCATTTAGCATTTGTGTTTTTTTTTCAGGGTTTTTTTTAAATAAGAGTTAAAATGAAAGTTATTCCAACATTTTCTCATTTTTTACTTGCTTTATAACTTGAATTCATAATGTATACGTAGTTTTTTTTTAATATAAAGTATATCAAATCTTAATGATCAGTTCTTTGTGTGTTTTAAGGTTATTTTTAAGGACTTATTTAGGAGTGAAAAGCTTTTATCTTTAGCAGTTTATTAATATTATGTTGATGATTTAAACATAAAGTGTTTTTCATTATTAATACATCTATTACAATCAAATTTTTACAACTATAAAGGTTAGAAATAATGGAATCTATGGCTTTATACCAAGAAACAGCATATGAAAAGCTATATCGGTGGACACAAGGTATTCAATTTAGTAATGAAAATTTAATTAAAAATCTTTTACTTTTTATTAGCTTATCTAAGTAACTTATGAATACTGACATTAAATAAGAAAATTTAATTAAAAATCTTTTACTTTTTATTAGCTTATATAAGTAACTTATGAATACTGACATTTAATAAGAAAATTTAATTAAAAATCTTTTACTTTTTATTACCTTAAATAAGTAACTTATGAATACTGACATTAAATAAGAAAATTTAATTAAAAATCTTTTACTTTTTATTAGCTTATATAAGTAACTTATGAATACTGACATTAAATAAGAAAATTTAATTAAAAATCTTTTACTTTTTATTAGCTTATATAAGTAACTTATGAATATTGACAAAAACGATCATCATTTTATATTAAAAGCGTCTACAAATAAGTTAGTTCAATAAACTATTTAAAAGTGGACCTATTTTATTTATTTTTTATTAAAAAGTGACAGTTATTATGTGAAAGAATTAAAAACTATGATTTTTATTTAAAATAAATATTATTTTTCAAATTTTTATATAATTTTGCTTCTTATGTTTCTTTGGGCGGTCAACGACCACCAGAAATAAGTAAAATTGTTATTTTGACCTCCCAAAATGAATTCTTGCTGGTCATGTTTGACTGATTGAAAAAGAGTTTTGAAAAAAAGGTTTTGCAAATAGTCATGATGTAATTTGGAAAATGCATATACTAAAGTTTTATAAAGTCATTTAAGTTTTAAATAAGCATTTAAAATTGTGACTTTGACATGTTACTTTTATTTGCTTTGTTGATAATTTTACGACTTGAATTATATCATTTTAATATCATTCATTCATGAAAAAGAGGTAAACTTCTTTAGCATGAATGGTTAAAGTTGTAATTTTATTATTGTTTTAATAAAAGTATTCAATTTATTATTTTTATAATAATAAGAAAATATATAATATTTGCTGTATTTAACTGAAAACATTTTTTTTTAATGGACTTACATTATTACTTAAAATGACACTTTTTTTCTTTAAATCTATTTATTTTCTCATAAATTTTTGCTGCAAATGTAATAAATAAATGCATGATTTATAGGTCCATTTAAAATTTTTTATAATAGGATTCTTATAAGTGTTTGAGGTGGCCAAAAAACTGCCGACCTTGTTTCTATGTTTTATGGTAACACCTTTGTATCATTTTTTTTTTTTACTAACCTGATTCTGACCTCTAAAAGATTGAGGCCATCAAATAATTCTCAATCACATTTTTCCTGATTCTGAGGGTTGCATTTTTATGGAGGCGAATAAAAAGAAACAAATAACTTTTGCATTTTTCAATTGCATTCATAAAAGGATTTCTTTTAGTAGTATTCTAGTAGTATTCTTTTAGTAGTATTTCTAGTAGTATTCAGTTTAAATTTTTTGTAATATTGTATAAAATTTGTTTTGGTTTTGAAAAATAAAATAAACATTAAATTACTTGGATATTATCAAACTTCTTTTTGATGAAAATCTTTGCGCCTGAATGTAATTTTAAATAAAATTAACATTAGTAGGTAATTAGAAAGTTAGTTATTTACGAGTTAGAATTTAAAAAATGCATTTATTTAATTTAAAATTATTAGTTTAAAAAGAATACAAGTTCGTTAATTTTTAAGTATTAAGTTATTTTTGTGTGTTTAATTTCAGTCATAAAGAACTATTACTCAAATGAAAATTTAAACAAAGAAAAAAATTAAAATTTCATTTTCAATTCATGTGTTATTGTCAGTTTCCATGCTGTATTTAGAGGATTTAGGAAAGCATTTTAAAATTTTTTGTAACTCTAAGCACCCTTTTATTCCATTAGGTTTACCAAATAATAAACTTTTTGAATAAAATAACAAACTTATAGAATAAAATTGTTGTTAACCAGTTTTTTGTTAACCAACTTTTTTTTTTTTTTTTTCAACAAGGCTGCAAGCAATCACTATTAGAGCTAGAATTTAATGGAAGAGAAAAGAAAAAGATTTTAGAGCAAGATAGCGATTAATAGGCAACTTAAAAGATTGATTATTATATGAAT